CCAGCCTCGAACCCACAGCACCACAGTCCAGTCAGGAACTTGCTGCACATCAGTCGAACCAGGGGCCCGCCGCCTCGCAGCTTAACCAAGAATCCAACGCATCGCAGTCCAGTCAAGATCTTTTCACTTGGCAACTCAGCCAAGATCTCGTCGCTTTGCAGCTCAACCAAGATCTCCCCACATCACAATCCGGTCAAGAACTGGACGTCGCCCCGCCATCAGGTCAAGGATCGCCTACCGGTATTGTCACGCAAGCCGGAAATACGACTGCGTGACAGATCGGCGGTATCGTACGTACCGGGAACCATAAAAAAATCTGCCTCGCGAGCAAAAGTGCTTGCTACCCCGGTTGTGGAAACGGACATCGGAGAGGGTTTCGTCAAGTACAACGGGGAGGAGTCGAACAACTGCGCAAGAAACGGACGAGCTGGGAAAGGAAGAGCGAGACGGAAAAAGAATCGAGCCAACAGCCAACACATGGAAGAGAAAAATGGAAGCAACTTAACTTTTCATAGTCGTGTAGATTTTCTTCTCTGTTAATTATGTATAAGGTTTTTCTCATCCTCTCTTGTCTGATGCTACGATTAGCCACTTTCAATGTAAATGGTCTGAGCAACTTTGATAAGAGGGCTATTATTTTTAATCATTTGAAAGAAAATTACGATGTTACTTTTTCTGCAAGAGACGCACAGCATATTTTCTGATGAACAAATCTGGAAGAAGCAGTGAGGCGGGGAAACGTGTTTTAGTCAAGGTAGTACAGATTCCACGGGAGTGGCTTTCCTGGTATCGGATGGGAGAGGAATTCAACTGACTAACCCCGATAGAGATAATGACGGACGGATAGTTGGCGGAGACCTAATTTGGAGAAATTTACAATTGAACATTTTATGCCTGTATGTGCCTAATCAAATGGATGAGAGAAGGTCTTTTTTCGGAATCGTAACAAATATAACTAGAGAGAAGTGTTTGTAAACAAGTACAAACACAGAGCTGGTTCGGGACTGTTTTACCAACAAGATAAGTATTGTTGATCAAAGCTCTCAAACTAAGCCAAATGCTGGCTTGAAAACGTGTACAAAGTCAAGGGGCTGAAATAAATATTGAAAAACAAGAGTAAATCACATGATGACGTCATCATGACGTCATTTATTTACAATAATTTCTGTATCAAGATCTTTGTTGGCTGTCACTTTGAAAACGATCAAACATCCGAAAGGGTTCAAAATTGTGCCTTGGAAACGTGTACGAAGTTAA